ATTTGATAGAATATCAAATTCGGTAATTAAGTTTTCAATGTTAAATATTTGAACGAATGTCCAATGATTAGATACTTTCTGGGCATTACCTAATTTATATGGAAGGATTCCTGGGTTTTGGTTTAGGTCGTTGTATCTAGGAGTGTCGTAGGAGTATCCTGTTGTACAGGTGTATCTGTAACAAGAGGTGGTTTCAGTTCCTTAATATGGATTATTTCCACTTTTTCTGGGTTTTTTACGTGTTGTACTTTCACACGGTTATGTTCCAAGATTTCGATTCCATTCCATTCGAGGTCCATAATATTTTGGTTTACTTTTAGAGGAACGCGATGGTTGTTTTTTATATACAGTTTGGTTTATTTTGAATTGACTTTGTGCGTCACCTTTTGTGTTAATTTTTGTTATTACACGTTCTTTTTCTCGTTCTGTGTTTCCTAGGATATTTTCATATAATATGTCTACTTTATTCTTGTGTGAGTTCACATAGTCAGAATAGAAAGTTGTGGATATTAAATCCAAAGGATCACGATTATTGGTATGTCCTAGTACGAGTTCGTAAGGAGTAAATTTCGTTACAGAACTTGTAGTACTATTATATGCTATTATTGCGTATGGCATCAATTCATTAATTGGTTTATTAGGGTCTTTAGTTCGCAATATTCGTAAGTGTTCTATTATAGTAGAATGAAATCTCTCTCGATCGGTGAGTTTGATTCATGATGTTCAGGAGTTGTAAAGTGTATATTTATCTTTTGAGCTTTTAGTAATTCTTTAAGAAGCTCGTTATTAAACTCGGTTCCGTTATCAGTAACAATTGATTCGGGGCATCCTACAAAAGAGAAAAATTGGACTAGTTTGTCGCAAACTGATTCAGCATTTTTATCATAGGGAAATGCTTGGGCATATTTAGAGAATTTGTCAATTATCGTTAAGAAATTCTGTTTTTCGAAGATAAATGTATCCATGGATTTGGAAGGGCTTCGATGGTGATTCTGTCCTGACAAGTGGGATATACGTTTTTAATCGTGAGTATTTTTGAGTTTGACAGATAACACAATCGTTGATATATTTTGTAACCTCCTCTTTCATTTTTGGCCAGTAATAATTGGATTTTATTCGATCAAGTGTTTCTGTTATTCCTCGATGATTTGTCTTTGATTCGTGCTGATATTTGATCAATAACAATTGTTCTTCGATTTCTTTCACATTATTAACTAGTTTCATGCATCTTATGATTTTAGGTTTTGTAAAATGGTTGGTGTATATCTTAGCAAATAATGTTAGTAGATTCTCATCTAGGAAATATACATAAACTGGTTTATCATCATGTGGTAAATAGTCTCTCATAAATTAAAATATCAATTTAGGATCTTGTGGTATTTCACAATGACTGATATTATGATTTTCGAAACGATCGACGGATACTTTGATCTGTAAATGTGGATTTTTCTTGATAATAAATTGAACTGATTTATTATTAATTAATTCCTCTAATATTGGAAGATCGGATTCATTTTCATCATTATTACTATGTACAGTGTTGTCTGATGTTGTTGGGTTTCTAATTATTTCAGAAATTACATTAATTTTCTTTTGTTTGTCTTGAGTTTCGTTTGGCTTTTCATTTGGAAGTACTTGGAATTGGATTTTCGACCAAGTTTTTTAAATATTCTAGTATGTCTTGGTTTACGTCACCGGGATTATTGATTATCGATTCCTGTTCGTAGACATTTAATTGTATGCGAGATAAAGCATCTGCGACTTTATTTTGGGATCCACTTCGATAACGTATTTCATAGTCATATTCTTCTAGACGTAGTCGCCATCTAATTAGCTTAGAATCTTGGGTTTTTACATTGAATAACCAGACTAGTGGACGATGATCTGTGTATAGAGTGAATTTTCGTCCATAAATATAGGGCCGGAATGTCTTACAAGCATAAACAATTGCAAGTGCTTCTTTTTCGATAGTAGAGTATCGAGTTTGTGATTGGTTCAGAGTTCGACTTATAAATGCAACAGGTTTATCATTTGGAATAGTTCCTTGACTAAGAACAGCGCCAATTGCATAATTGCTGGCGTCAGTAGTGACGATAAAAGGTTGGGAAAAATCTGGGTAAGATGAAATTGGGGCATTAATTGAAAGGTTTTTCAAATGTTCAAAGGATTTTATGAATTCTGAAGTATACTGGACTTTTGCATCTTTCTTTAAGCAAGAGGTCATTGGCTTTGTTACTTTGGCAAAGTCTTGAATAAAACGTCTAACCAACTAAACCGAGAAATGTTTTTATGTCTTTAACAGCGGCGATTTTATTTGGGTTTGGTTTAATCCCGTGTTTGGTTACAATATGTCCAGAACTTCTGGTCTCAAAAATTCAGATTTGTCTAGTTGTACTTTGAATTTAGCTTCACGTAATCTGTCGAAAATTTTCCGTAAGTGTTCTTGTAAGCTGCTACTACAAATTATTATATCGCCCAAGTAAACAAAACAAATTTCATTCTGCAATCCACGCAAGATATTATTCATTGCTTTCTGGAATGTTGCTGGGTTCTTTAAACCGAAGGGCATTCTGGTAAACTGTCCTAAATCAGTACTAAACTGTTTTATGAACGTCTTCTGCATCCATTTCAATTTGATAGTATCCATTTGCTAAGTCTAAAGTCGAAAAAATATTTGGCTTTTCCCAATTTATCTAGAATTTCGTTGATATTGGGTAATGGAAATTTAACATCAGCAGTTTTTCCTTCAACTTCCTATAATCGACACATAATCTAAATTTTGGTTTTCCAGATGCATCAAGTTTCTTTGGTACTATTAATATAGGAGCTGAAAATGGTGAATTTGACTCTCTAATCATATTTTGTTCCAATAATTTATTGAATTGAGTCTTAACTTCTTGTCGGTGTATTTCGAGGTATCTGTACATTTTGGCAAAAATTGGTGTTTCGTCAGTTAATTTAATTTGATGTTTAATAGCATCCGTAAAACTCAATGGTTGGTCTTCACAATAGAAGATGTCTCTATATTCTAGACATAGTTGACGAATGGCTTGTTTTTCTTCCAAATTACAGTGTTCCAGTCTTAAATATTTCAAGTTAGCTTTTAATTTATTGTCTAATTCTTTTGGCATTTTATAATTATTATTTTCTGCACTGATAAAATTCAATTGATTTACTTCATTTGGTTCAACTGGTAAAGGTTCTGAAAAATTAATTGGGGTTTGAACTTGAATTCAATGCTGTCATATAAGCGAAATACTTTTCTTATTAAAGACTTGGGGATCTCGACGCTTCCTTCTTGTGCATAATATACCATATCCATTTTCAAGATTTACTGGTACCTTAATCTGCGATATCATACGCAGCGGTATGACAAAAGTTCGTTTCAATGTTTTCAAGACATGAGGTTTTAATTACGTCGTAAAATTCTTTGAAAAAAAAATGGTCCGCGGTCGGATACATTAACTAAGTGTATTACCGAGTTTGTTTATCGTTATTTATTTTCCAGTACTAATAACGTCGCGCCCGTAGACTAAACAATGGCATCATATGCTTTAAGTCTACACAAATCTATTCAGTCTTTTTCGAACCTCCAACAGTGGACATTATAATTATTATAAAATTATTGCACAACATTTTTTTTTTAACAAGTAAGTAAATCTTTTATATACTAATATCAATACCTACAGAATATTTTTTAGATATGGATTTGAAATCAATCAACGAGTCCTGCTTCTTCAAGGATCAAAAAACACTTGTGAAATTACAAGACATAGAGCCTGACAGAAAGTACCCAATATTTTCTGCTAAAAAACCCCAAAGTAAATTCGGACCGAGTATCCTCATTGAACTTGACGATAAGGCAGTGTTTCTTCCAAAACGTACCACTAAATCATTGGAAGATCATATTGAGCAGTTTATGGATGGAAAATATTCAATAATATACAGAGGCCAGAAGGATGTAGGACGACCAAACCAAAACACATTTTTTTTTTAACAAGTAAGTAAATCTTTTATATACTAATATCAATACCTACAGAATATTTTTTAGATATGGATTTGAAATCAATCAACGAGACCTGCCTCTTCAAGGATCAAAAAACACTTGTGAAATTACAAGACATGGAGCCTGGCAGAAAGTACCCAATATTTTCTGCTAAAAAAACCCAAAGTAAATTCGGACCGAGCATTCTCATTGAACTTGACGATAAGGCAGTGTTTCTTCCAAAACGTACCACCAAATCATTGGAAGATCATATTGAGCAGTTTATGGATGGAAAATATTCAATAATATACAGAGACCAGAAGGATGTATGACGACCAAACCAAATATCGCTTTTTGAAATAGTTGAGTGTTAAAAAATGTATGTTTTTAAATAAAAAATTGTTTGAGGTTAGTATTTTTTTTTTCTTAAGCCCATCTGTCTATTTTCTTTATATTTCTTCATGTATTTATGCATGTTCACGTATTTTTTTTCATCTGTATAAATACATGTAGAAATATAGAAAATACACACAGGTGTAATGTTATACGGGGTTTATAGATGGCGCAGAGAGCGGGTAAGTTGGAGTAGTTCAGGTAGATTGGGTTAGATGACATTGACAGGTGGCATTGACAGCTGACTGGCATTGACAGACCACTGACATTGACAGATGACATTGACAGGTGACTGACATTGACAGGTGGCATTGACAGGTGACTGAAATTGACAGGTGGCATTGACAGCTGAATGACATTGACAGATGACAGCTGACTGATGTCGCCATGGCGTCGCGACGCCCTGGTTGGCGCATGCGCAGACGTCGCGGAGGCGTCGGAGGATGCAGAACCGGCCATCTTACACTACTATCATGGGGTGCCAGAATAGAAGAAGCAATGAGCGAAAGAAACCTTGTACAGGGCCAATGGAACATCATAAATTTTACCGCCCCAAAGCTTTTTAAATTAACTAAAACTTTTGTTGTGCTCTCTGTCTCCTTCAACTAAAATAGCGTTGGATGGAAATTTAAATATTGATTTAATGAGGTAGTACCGGTATAAGGATGCCACTGATCTAAGAAATTTACTTACTAGTTTCAATATCAGAAGGCATAATGCAGAGTAACATCTACCTCAAAATAAGGGCTAGATTACGCCTTCACAAATTTGAAGGGGTACATTACCCTTCCCTTGATCCAGGAATGAGCGATCATAAAGCAATTTTTACGGCAACTTGGCTTGTCAGCCTCTTCATAAAACACAATATTTTGAATGTGGTTTGTTTGTTCATTCCTTTACCTCACTGCTAATGTATCTAAGGCAGATAGAGAGAGTGTAACCTAAAATTTAATTTAAGCAGAAAGTTTAAAAGCCCAACGTTGCCGAAAAATAAAAAAAAAACAAATGACACGATAATAAATAATGAATAATTTGTTAATAAATACCTATTTATGAACCTTTATTTCTTGAAAAAACAAATAAAACAGGCTTTTACACTCGCTTTTACATAATATTTGAAAACTATATTATATAAAAATACTATACCTATTTTAACATTAATATCAATACTATCACTAATCCAACAATAGCCCAATGATTCATTTATTGAAATTTATGCAATGCAACTGAGTGTATTGACGAATAAACTAAAAAATGTATTTTCTTCCGGAATTATCAATTTCAACTCGAGCTAATACATAATATTAATTCAAAAAGCTAGCATTTTTTAAATGAAGCATTTTCCTGACTAATGAACAAGAGTAAAATTTCAAAACAGATTCCCACATTTAAAATGGGTCCAATCGACTTTTGGTTCTCAATCCCATTTGAAAAAATGCAGACTTTTTAAACAAACAAAAAGTAAAAACGTAAAAAAAAATACAAAACTAATAACTTAAATTTATACGAAACTAACGAGACCTTAATAATTATACTTTCAAGCTGAAAGTTAACAATCACTTTTCCAAAGTTTTATTGTTTTGTCGTGTGCCAAAGTCGCCGATGCGATTATATTTTCAATTGGGTGGCATGCGGTACAAAGCACTACATCTGTGTGACCCTAGAAGTGAGAAAAAAATGTCTATTATTATAATAATATATTTAAAAATAAACAACATATTTCTACCGAAGCAGCAATATAAAGCGGTGTTGGGAAATTGCAGCCGAATTCTAGGAATTCAGTTCTTTACGTCTAGCGCAAATATTCGAGGAATTTTATTGTAGTACTATACGCTTTGACCAAATTTACCAATAGCGAGTTCTTTTCAAAATTATTTTTGAAGTTGTATGTAGATCTTTTATCTTTTTATTAAAGCTCGCAAAAGAATAATAATGATTTGCTTTTTTATGGCAAACAACTCATAGTTTAAAAATCGTAAGTGATATAAGAGTGAATCAGTAGTCAAGTGAAAAAAAATAAATAGTATCAACATAAACTTTCATCATCTCATCAACAGCGTATATTATTATACCAATTGATGATGAGTGTCAGCTACTTACATGACAGTTAATAGGAAATAATAAGCAAATCAATAAAAACCCTTACCTACGTTATTTACAAAAGATTAAAAGATTCTTACCTCTAATTTCTGTACAATTTCTTTCGTTTGCAAATTCCAAATATAAACCATATTATCTTCCGATCCACTAACAATCCATTTTCCTCCCGTCACAGAGAAGTTTGCCGAAATGCAATATTTCTCGTTTTGATGACCAGAGTAAGTTTTCAAGCACTTATCCTTGCCATAATTCCACAACCTCAAGGTTCCATCTAGAGTAGCAGCTAAAATAAATTTCCCATTTGGCGAGAATTTGACGAAGGAAATTTGGGCATGGTCCTCATTGATCAGTGTCTTCAAACATTGGCCAGAGGCAGTGTCCCACAACCGACACAATCCATCATAGCTACCACTAACAATCAGAGAACCGTCTTGGTTGAAATGTACTGCAGTGACAACGTCAGAATGAGCTGGAAGAATTTTGAGACAATTTCCGGTGCGCACGTCCCATACCCTGACAGATTCATCAAACGAACCAGATACTATAAGGTTGGAATGCGGATTGAAGTTGCAACAAAACACGTAGTTGCTGTGACCTTTCAAAGTTTTGAGCGATCTTCCGGATACCAAATCCCAGATTTTTAAAGTTTTGTCGTCACTAGCTGAGACTAACAAACGACTGTCGGTCGACCAAGCTACGTCACTTAAGCCTGAAAATAAACAATATAGGTACTATTTAAGGGTATGATTACGTCAACATTTTTTTCAATTTTTATAATACAGATGATGATGAATTCCTCTATTTTATTTTAAAGAAATCCTAGATATATTCCGGCCCAAACATTAACTCAAACCTTTCCTGAAAGTTGCCCTGGTTCATTCTGTACTGGTTTTCTCTTGACTAATATGTAGTATTCTGCCTATTGAACATTCCATAATGGAATGTTTAATAAGCAGTACAAAATGAACCAGGGCAACTTTCAGGAAAGGTTTCGTAAATCGAGATTCATCGGAATATAAAATTTATCGTGCAAGATTATTGTTTTGGTTATTATCAGTTTCGAATTCTCGATGAACCAATTACAAAACGCTAACCTTCTTTCAAAGTCATCGTCGTACAAGGCTTGATAAAGCTGATTTTTGAATGCCTTATATTCGTGTTTTTTTTTTTTAAATTGTTCGTGCTGATTCAGTGATTCGTGACTTATTTAAAGTTCTTGGCCAATTTCTCTGGTAGATGCAGAAGGGGTCACAGTGGCGGACCCAGGGGTTAGAGCTACACCTGTTGACCTTGTACCATTAATCGGTGTGAAACTAGCAGCCTCATTACAGCAGCCAAACTGTGAAGTTGGCAGCCAATTACAGCAGCCAAAATGTGAAGTTAGCAGCCTGTTTTAGCAGCCATTTTTAAGACAACATGGATAATGTCATAACTAAATTTTAAACTTTTGTTTCGAAAAATATAAATTTTTCTCCATTCGCCTGCGTGATTATAAGACGCGGAAGAATCGAAAAAAAAAAATGTAGGTCGTGAAAAATGGAGTTCCGCTATTAAACTTGGTAGTATCATTGACGATGTCCTAAAGAACATCTATACCGAGTCTCATTTCCTTAGGCCTCGTCTAACATGGAGAAAACGGGACATAATGGAAAAATCGATAAAAAATCAAAAGTCACTTTCAAAAATGGTGTTCCGCGATTAAACTTGGCAGTATCATTGATGATGTCCTAAAGAACATCTATGCTGAGTCGCATCTCCTTAGGCTCCGTCTAACATGGACAAAACGGGACATAATGGAAAAATCGATAAAAAATCAAAAGTCACTTTCAAAAATGGTGTTCCGCGATTAAACTTGGCAGTATCATTGATGATGTCCTAAAGAACTCCTATACCGAGTCTCATCTCCTTAGGCCCCGTCTAACATGGACAAAACGGGACATAATGGAAAAATCGATAAAAAATCAAAAGTCACTTTCAAAAATGGAGTTCCGCGATTAAAGTTGGCAGTATCCCTGATGATGTCTTAAAAAATCGCGGAACACCATTTTTGAAAGTGACTTTTGATTTTTTATCTATTTTTCCATTATGTCCCGTTTTCTCCATGTCAGACGGGGCCTAAGGACATGAGACTCGGTATAGATGTTCTTTAGGACATCGTCAATGATACTACCAAGTTTAATAGCGGAACTCCATTTTTCACGACCTACATTTTTTTTTTTCGATTCTTCCGCGTCTTATAATCACGCAGGCGAATGGAGAAAAATTTATATTTTTCGAAACAAAAGTTTAAAATTTAGTTATGACATTATCCATGTTGTCTTAAAAATGGCTGCTAAAACAGGCTGCCAACTTCACACTTTGACTGCTGTAATGCGGCTGCTAGTTTCACACCGGTGTACCATTAGAATAAGCACAAACAGAGCTATCCAATCAGTTATTAATAAACAGGATGTCCGTTTTTCAAGGACTATAGGAAAAGGTAAGAGATACAGGTTCGGTTGAATTGGGACAAACTTGCGCAATTTCTTGCTTAATCAAACGCCACTTTGGAACTTGGTAATTTGGAATATTCCGAATACTTCCGGAGATATACGGTAAAAACCAAAATTTTGCAAAATCGTTTTTTTTTTTCCTGGGCTCAATCAACTTTCCCTCCTCTACACAATGGTGTAGTCTAATTAGAAATCCGACGTTTCGTCTTTCGCCTATCATCATGAAAGGACCCTGCTCAAAGTATACGAAAATTGTGTTTGTCAGAATTGGCGGAATTTTGTATATAATCTAGATCAGGCCCTTCTGATTAAAGGTTACCATTGCACTAATCCTGAAAAATGACTTCACGTGGCTTACCAATCACCACTGCGCCACAAGCTTAGCTATCCGTAGTATCCGTGCAACATTGAACGTCTATTACAATGTCCAAGCGTTTTACTTGCTACCTATAAAATTAATTTTCCCAAAAAGGAGTCATTTTCCAGGATTGGTGCAATGGTAAATTTTTATCAGAAAAGCGTGATCTACTACATTATAAATACAAAATTCAGCCAACTCTGACATAAAGACAATTTCCGTATACTTTGGGCAAGGTCCTTTATTTTTTTAAGTGCAGGTTTGCATTTTTTTCAATTGTCTGATTTATTCGGGCATGGGATTATCGCGTTTATACTGGAATTTACATGAATAGATTTACGGATATATAAAGGCCGGTATTGGTTGATAGTTTTTAAGCTTAAGTTTGGCTGCTATACGATTAAGATAGTGAATATTGTTATGTTAAGAGTTGCAAAAAGTTAGGTTGTTTAAGTTAATTAGTGAAGTAAATAGGATCAGAGTAGGGCTGCCATTTATGAAATTTGTTACCGAGGACAATTTTTACAAAAACCCCGGATTCTATCCCCTCAAACCCGGACACCACTAAAGGGTAGCCCACCTTAGTCGCCGCCGGAGGCAGTGGATTTTATTGGGTGCCACGCCCAAAAAAGTTTATTTTAAGCCTTCGAGAACCACTCATTATTTTGACAAAAAATCATTTTTTGGGAATTTTTATAGCTTTCACCGAGCTCCAAACATGACTAACGACACGTGAACGTGAAACTTGAGTCGCGCACATGCGGGCTAAATGAAACTGATGATGATGATGTCGATTGAAGATTTTCATGATTTTTGTCAATTTCGCGGAGTTATTCGTGATTTTTTTCAAGATGCCGTAAACCGTAAAACATGGATAACTCCAAAAAATCCCCCCCGGATACCTCTAAAACTAGGACAAATCCGGGGAAATCCGGACGGATGGTAGCCCTAGATCAGAGTGTATAGTAACGTGGAATACATTACTTTTGTGTTGATTGGACTTTGATTTTAGAACAAACGCACCCAAGATTTCTGTCAGGCACACCAGAGCCGTGACAATGGTGTCAGAAGTGAGACATAATTCGAGGACTGCAAAGTGAAATCCGATTGCAGAATAGTGCGCGGACATTAGTGTGAGCACTATAGTAAACACTAGGACAGTTGGTCAGTGTAAGCAGTGACAATCACCAAAAGAGACTTAACCGATCGTGTAAATTACCCCGGAAGTGACTATACCCGATTTTGACTGTGATAGTGAATTTTCGAGTAAGTTCTCGAAAATTCTATTTGGAAACCAAGGGAGATATCAAATTTCTGACTTCGCCAACGTATTCGATACATCAATCGTCATTCAGAAAAAGAATTTCGAGGAGTTTCGGGAAAATTCTAGAACACCTCATTTGGAAACCAAGGGAGATATCGAAATTGTAACTTCACCGACGTGTTTACTATATCAATCGACATCCAGACAAGAGAGTGGATACTGGCAATACACAAAGATGACAAAGAGAAAACTGCCTTTAGTACCTGAAGCGGGTTATACCAGTTTAATGTTATGCCTTTCGGATTGTGTAATGCTCCAGCCACGTTTGAGCGACTGATGCATCTTGTTTTGCGAGGCCGTGGGTTCTGAAGATGGCATACAAGTTATGAAAGGCAAGATAGATGCTGTCAGGGATTGGCCAAAGCTATGCGACAAACATGAACTTAGAAGTTTTCTGGGATCGAGGATTTGTGGAAGGTTTCGCCAATATAGCTGCTCCTCTTCATCGTACTTAAGAAAAAACCAACATTCAATTGGACCCAAGAATGCAATTCCGCTTTCAGAAAATTGAAAGGAGCACTATGTATGAGCCCAGTGTTGTCCTATCCCGATCAGAAAGGCATGTTGATTTTGGACAAACATGCGAGCAACACCAGTATTGGAGATGTCCTTTCACAAATCCAAAATTCACAAGAGCATGTCGTAGAGTACTACAGCAGAACCTTATCAAAGCCGGAACGAAGTTATTGTGCCACCAGAAGAGAGTTGCTTGCCATAGTAAAAGCATTAGACTATTTCCATAAGTATCTCTACAACCGTAAGTTTCTAATTCGTACAGATCACGCGGTTCTAAAATGGCTTTTAGAAATGAAAACTCTCGAAGGACAGCTTGCTAGATGGATAGAGAAATTGCAGCAATACAAACGTGCATAAAAATGCTGATGCTCTGTCTAGATGGCCATGCAAAGAAGACTGCAAGCATTGTCAAAGAATCGATATGCATGAGAAAAACACTGGTCCGGCTGTGAGAAGAACGGGTTTTATTGTCGGTGATAGATGGACTACCAAACAAATGAGTGCAGATCAAGAAGTAGACCAGGACATCGGACAAATGATGAATGTAGGCCAGAATGGAGGGAAGTGTCGAACAAGAGCTTGATTTACAAGGCGTTGTGGGCTCAATGGAACTCTCTGGGCCGTAGAAAATGGTTTACATAGAAGAGTTTGGAAAAGTGCCGATGAGAGATCCACTAAGAAAAAATGGCCAGAAGTTTTCGCTATTCCCAATCAAGAAGCCATCACTATTGCTCAGGTGCTAGTGGACAAAGTTTTTAGTCGTCATGATGTGCCACTAGAGTTACATTCAGATCAGGGACGAAATTCCGAATCTGCCATCTTCAAGAAAATTTGTAAGATCATGGGTATTCGTAAGACAAGAACAACACCTTTACATCCACAGTCTGATGGCACGGTAGAACGATTGAATAAGACCATAGCATAGAGGAACACCTGACAAAAGTGGTCGCAAAAAACCAGCAAGATTGGGATAAACACTTGCCTCTATTTTTAATGGCTTACAGAGCAGCTGTTCACGA